CCCTTTCTCCTAACTTGCAATCTTGTTTAATCTGCTTTATTAGCTGCCCAGGTTGCACCACCTTGTGTTCCCAGAATGCTATATTTCTAGCTCTCCAAATGTGATACACAGTTGCTGATAGTGCAGCTATCACCACAGCCCTACATGCTTTCCCCTTAATCTTCCTGGTCATTCTTCTTCCCAGCCCCTGTATCTCCAGATTCCTCGTACCTATATTTAGCCACCTCTGTATGTCTTCTATACATCTCCTCGCCAGTGGACAGTCAAAGAATAAATGATTAATTATTTCTTCTGCTCCTCCACAAATCTCACACAAACTGTCTTGACTGATGCCCATTCTATACACCCTTTCCTTTGTCATGAGTCTGTTGTGTGCCACCAGCCAGCATATCATACTATGCTTAGGTATGTTCAGCTTATTCCATACCCAGCCTCGCCAAGGCCAGTCCTCCTTGGCCCCTTTCATCCAGTCATAACCACTCTTGATAGTATATACTCCATTAGCCTTAAGCCATTGGTTTTGTATATACCCCCCAACAAATTTATCTCTTATAGAACATATCTTCCTCCAGTACCAACTACAGTCTGTAGGTACTTTATATTGCCACCAATCCCTTCCTTTTAAGTATATGTGGTTCACCCATCTCACCCATAGGTTGTCTGTTTTCGCTGCTATATTCCATACATATTTAGCTATGGCTGCTTCATTCCATACTACAATATCCTTCACTCCCAGTCCTCCTTGCCTTTTTGTTCTGCAGACCAAGTCCCATGCTACTAGTTGTGGCTTGTTGGAGTAGACTTTCCCATCCCATAGGAAGCATATACATACCCCTATAATACTTTTTATCACTTTCTTGGGCAGAACAAAGATAGATGCCCAGTATGTGTGTATATGCATCAACACAGTATTCACCAATAGGACTCTCCATGCATATGACAAGTTCCTTGTGCCCCAACTTTTGATCTTCACAGTCATCTTATCCACGAGTACTTCACAATCCATTATTGTCAGTTTCTTTGGTAAGATAGGCACTCCAAGGTACCTAAATGGTAATGTTCCCCTCTTGTAGCTTGTTAGTTCACATAGGTTCTGTAAATCCTGTTCCTCCATGTTAGCACTGAATACATTAGACTTGGCAGCATTAGTAGTTAGTCCTGATGCATTTGAGAAGCTTTGTAGTCCTCTTAACATTAGGACTATAGCTTGGTACTCCCCTTTACAGAACATTAGCACATCATCTGCAAAGCATAGATGATTCATCTGCAGCACTTTACATTTGGTATGGAAAGCAAAGCCTTCCTGCATAGCCACCAGATTCATAATACGTGTGAAATACTCCATAAGGATCACAAACAGCAATGGTGATATTGGGTCTCCCTGTCTCAGTCCCCTTTTACCATTTATACAACCATACAAGCCTTCATTGATAGCTAGAGTATACTGTGTTGTTGTAATGCACTTCATTATCCACCCTATGAATTGGCTTGGAAAATTCAGTGCATATAATATTTCCTCCACAAATCCCCATTCAACTGAATCATAGGCCTTCTTGAGGTCAATTTTGATGAGACAGCTTTTTGTAGTGTTCTTCCTGTTATAGAGCCTTACTAAATCTTGACAACTTAAGCTATTTTGGACAATTGATCTCCCTTCTATAAAAGCACTCTGATTATCTGAAATGATTTTAGGCAGTACCTTCTTTATTCTTTGGCATAGCATTTTTGACATCACCTTGTACACTGTATTGCAACAGGCTATTGGCCTATAGTCTCCCACTACATCTGCATGTGTCCTTTTTGGAATGAGTGTTATAACTGTATTGTTTATCACTTTCAACATCTTCTGATTCTTGAAGAACTCCAGTACTGCTGCTGTAACATCTCCTCCTATTATGCTACAGTTGTCTTTGAAAAATTGGCTTCCATAGCCATCAGGTCCAGGGCTTTTGTCCCCTGCAATTGCCCATAATGCCTGTTTTACATCATTCACTGAGTATGGTTCCACTACCATTTTCCTGTCTTCTTCATTCACCACTGCTCCCCCTGCTTCACTAAGTAACTACATACATGATCTCTATCTGCCTTACTAGTGCCTAGTAGGGATTTATAGAATTCAATGAATGTTGTAGCTACACTGTCCATGTCAGTAACAGTAGTGCCATCAGCTCCCTTTATAGAGAAGATCCTATTGTTGTTTCTCCTTGCTTTGATGCTATTGTGGAAGTATCTTGTATTGTAATCCCCCTGTTCTGCCCAAGTTATCTTACTCTTCTGCCTTAAGTATTGATATCGAGCTTCTTCCCATCTGCTATACACCTTTGCCAGTTCCCTTTCTTTCTTGTGTAACTCATGATCCCTAGGATTTTCCTGGATCTTAACTTGACAGTCAGTAAGATCCTTCTTTGCTTGGTCTGCTTTCATTTCTACTTCAGTGAATCTGTTTTTGTTGATCTTCCCTAATACTCCTTTCAATTTGTTCAGCTTCCCCACTAGTTGGTACTGCTTGCATCCTGATATCTTTGTTCTCCAGCTCTCCTCTACTTTCTCAAGAAATTCTGGTGCCATACTCCACATATTGAAGTACTTGAACTGCTTCTCCTTTTTATTTCTTCCTTTTTCCCAGCTGATAATAGCAGGACAGTGATCATACAGCCCTTCTTCCATGTAATGTACTTTGGAAGCTGGGAGGTTTGATGTCCATTCACTATTGACCAGCACTCTGTCTATCTTACTCATGACCTTGTCATCTCCTTCCTGCTTATTGTTACCAAGTAAAATAGGAACCAGTAGATTTAAGATCATGTAGATCACAACTCTCTACACATCTCTTAAAGTCCCTTATTTCTGCTACTGTTACAGGGCTTCCTATCCTTTCCTCCTTATATAATACACAGTTGAAATCCCCCATTACACTCCATGGCCCTTGAATTTGACTATGGATTTTGTTTAGTTCCTCCCATAGATCTCTTCTAAGGCCTTGATCATTGAACCCATACACCACTGTTATGTGCATTCTCTCATTACTCCCTCTGTGTTTTATTTGGCAATGAATCAGTTGTGCTGTTACTGTTACTATAT